GTTGCAATGTCATACCTCCGTTAATGATTTTGTTAAATTGGTTGTGAAATGAGGATTTGACAAATGGAGGGCCCATATATTTGCTGATGTGGTAGTCCACTTGTGCCATTAAGAAATTATATATAAAATAAATCATTAAAAAAAATTTTGTCAAAAATTAAATATAAAAAAGTGGGCCCACCCCCTTCAAATCACCAAATCCACCAAATCCACCTACTTCTCTGACCTCCCTCCGCCCTCGCCAACCTTCTTCTTAGTACCCTGAAACCAATTCCCCTATCTCTAAATTCTCCCTTAACCCGAATCCCAAACACCCACTCATGGATTCCTTCAATCCAAATTCTTATGCATCAATTCCCAAATAGATGAATCTGCACCAATTGATCGGTACCGGCTCGCGAATCACATTCTCCTTCAAACTGGCCTAATCCTCATCGTTGTCTTTCTCTCCATTCACAGCATCCCCTAAAAGCTCTTGGCTAATCTCTGTTATTGCTTTTGCAACAAATCTACTGCCCAAGCCAAGCGTCCTCGGCGCCCAGCTTCTCGCCTAGTCCCGATCTGTCGATTCACGCTCATTTTCGGCCTCCCTCTCCCAGCAAGCCCTTGACAAAGCCGAGAAGGCCATCGCCCTTGACCTTAAGGACATTGCTGCCCACATCCTCAAAGCTCTTGCCCTCGATGCTTAGGGATTCAAGACCTCAACCCTCGATGCCATTGACATTACGTTGTCCCCTCTCTACCGAAAGAGTCTGACCAAAGAGGATCGTGGCGATGCGCTCGTCAAGAGGGCGGAGATCAAGCTGTCGATGAACCGAAAAGCTCGGGTTGACTCGGTGATTGAGGATTTGAATTCAGGCTGTGGAGCTGAGTCAAGAGAATGGTGTTTTGTACGTTATGAGAGTAAGAAGATGACGAAGAAGGCCAGGAATACTCCAGAGTGTGGTTTGAACAGAGGCGTGGGAGAGAATGGTTTCAGGGTTTGGTTTCAGATTGAGAGGGGAGGTCAGTGAGAGCGGAGGGTAAGTCGGAGAAGATGGTGGTTTTAGTTATTTGAATGGGTGGGCCCACTCATTTTTATTTAATTTTTGACATAAAATTTTATTATTTTAAATGATATATATATATATATTTTTTTTTTTTAATGCCTGGCCCAAGTGGACTGCCACGTCAGCAAATATATGAGCCCTCAATTTGCCAAATCATCACTTAACGACCAATTTGACATAATCCCTAACGGAGGTATGACATTGCAATGTTTAAAACATAAGGTATGAAATTGTGGTGCGACCCATAGTTGAGGTAGTTTTGTATAATTTACCAACAAAAAAAAACAATTTAAAGGAGAAAACAATTGAAACTTTTTTTTTTTTAAAGGAGCTTAGCTGGTGATGTGAAAAATAAGTTAACACACAAAATTAAACCCTCTTTTTATCAAATGTAGTAAAGTATGTAAGTAGGGATCGTTCTAGGCCGGGGATTAGGAGGGATTGCTAAACACTTGAAAACTGACTTAAAAACATAAAAACAAAATTTAAAACACTAAACTAGACTCAAAGAATGCAAAACTATACTTTAAAACACTAAAACAAACCAAAAAGACTCAAAACAGCACCTAGCACTCAAAACTGCCATAATAAAACACAATCTGGGCAGTTTTGAACACTAAGGAAGAAATTGAACGAAAATATGTTATAACTTGACTCAATACACTTAGAAACACAAACTAAATTGATTTCTAACTAAAATGACACTTGAAACTACAGAGGGAATTGGTTTTGACGAATTTAAAATAAAATAAGAACTTTGTAAAACAAAACAGGTTTTAAAACGACTTTGGTTTAAAACTTATGGATGGAAGGCTAGCTAGGAGGTTCTTCTTCACACATGTCACACTTGCATACAAAATGATTTCCAATTGCTTTTCGATAAGTTATGAATACTCAACGCCCCAAATTAACCGTGAATTGCACTAATTAACTCTCAGTTTTTCAACAAGTTATTAGATTGGATGATTGCATACGACAACCCAAAACATTCCCTACAAGTTCCCTACATGAATTGCATAATAGAGATACAAGCAAGAATCATTAAGTTCTATGAAAAACATAAGCATTGACGAGGCACTCGTTACTATGATTTGCATGAAACTTATGCCAAGAATTTACTTAACGTGATTGTGACTAGCAACCTTCACTACTTGTGAATATAAGTTCATAACGATTAGGTGAAACTCCCTTATATTCTAGCGTCAAAATTCATGCATGAAAATTAAGCGTGCACTCTCAACCAACATACACAAATTAGTTTTTTATACGAACGGATAAGTAAATTGAATTCACAATTCAAGAAACGCAATTGGAAGTAATCAAATCATATAGCAAGCATAAACATGGTTTTGAATCCCCCCTAGCCAAGGGGGGTTTAGTTCCTCATTCTTGCAATACAAAGATACATAAAATTAGACATTAAAATCAAAGGAAAGAAAACACCTAAAATGCTCCAACTTGGAAAGCAAGTGCATCAATGGATCTCCCTTCCTCCTTGTTGCGGCATGAAGCTTGTGGACAGATTTTTGGGTGGATTTATGGTGTAGAATGGATGGGGAATGATATGGAGGGGTTTAGGGTGAGTGTGGAAGAGTGTTTGATGGTTGGAAGGTGGTGGAGAACTAGGCAAAGAGGGTGGAAGAAGGTGGAGTGGCTGTTATGTTTTCTAGGCACTAGAATGGTGTTTTTGGGGTGTTTTGCTTCCTAGGGTGTGTATGGACGAATTGTTGTGATAAAATGATGAATATGGGGGATTGTTCTTTTGCCAAGGGGTGTAAACATGTATTTATAGGCCCCAAAAACCTTAGAAAATCAGGTTAGGTTAAGGATGAAATGCATGGCAATTTGTGTGTGTGGTGTGCAATGGTCCAAGGGTGAAAATGAAGTGATGATGCAAAGTGTGAAGGGTAAAATGGAGTGGTCTTGTAGCTAGGGGGCATGAATGATTGTGTACATTGCATAGAGATGGAAAGGGAGGTGAAAATGTGTCAATAAATGGGTCAAAGGTGCAGCAACATGTGGTACACAAGGCATGGGATTCCAAATGTGAATGATGGAGCATCAATTGGTGCATGTAATGGATGTAAATGTTGTCTAAAATCTAATGAGTGAAGGGAACAAGAGGTATCAAGCAATTGAGTGTAATAATTAAATGAATTGAAGCATGAAATTAGAAATTATGTAGGGGACAAGAGTGATCAAGCATGGCATGGAATCCAAAGGGAATTCTATGTGGTTTGCATGGCAAGGAATGCAAGTTGGGTGACAGATTTTTGGGCTGTTTTCTTCATCTTTTGGACCATAATTCTTCATATTCTTGGCCTCTTTAGTTCTCAAATTCGTCCATCCACTTGGCCCATGCATTTGCTATCCATTCCAAGCCCGAAACATGCTCCAAAGGCCTCCAAAATGCATCTTCTTGCACACTTTGTACTTAGAGTCTGAAAACACACGAAAATGACTTTAAACATTAAAATAACTAAGGAAACACGACATAAATGCACAAGAACAAGCCAACTAAGTCGCATAAATATGCTCCTATCAGCTGGTGGCTTCGCCATGACAGTCAATTGTTCTGGGGGTCGGGAAAATTCACAGAAGCATTTCAGCCTCCCCCTGGCCACCATCGTGCGATTCACTAGCGTCATGAATCAAATTCAGTACGTGCCCTGTGGAATACGGACCTAGAATACGCCATCACCATTAGGCCACTCCGTGGTGGTTAACTTAAACTTGTTTCAAGCTTTAGCTTTTCGTTCCATTTTGTAAACCATTATATGTACCCATCCTTCCTCTATCCTTCATCTCTATTGGTTATCAAGTGAAAGTTAAAAGAGCATCTCCACCCTCCAAAAAATTGCTCCAGCCCAGTCCAAACAAGTATGGCTACATTGAAAAGCAAAGAGGCACAACTACTCACTCGGGCCAAAATCGTCCAACCCAATGCCTGAGGCAGTTTGACGTCACTCACGTTATAATTTTTTTTCACTTGAGTGCACGCGAGTTATCCAACAAAATCCAAATGGCAGGCCCATGCTGCAAATTCTTTAAAACATGGGAGATTTTGAATTGTTGGATTTCTAAAGATCATGTGATCGAACGGCCATAATAATTCATTTTTTGGCTTTATAGATTAAAAACAAAAAATTTGTTTTGTCATAGAGCAAAATCTGATCACTGAAGAGATTATGCCACGTGGCACAATCTATTCGCTAAAGCAGTAATTGCCTTAACAAATTTAAGTTAACAAAATGGGAGGGGAGAAAGACAAAATTGTTTCAAGACCTAGTAATTGCCTTAAACTTGTTTCAAGCTTTAGCTTTTCGTTCCACGTGGCAACAATTACCGTGGAAGGGTAGAGTTGCTCTAAGACATGGTCATTGTTCAGCAATTCGAAAATTTTGGGTTTCAAATCGGGTCGGGCCGAGTTCGTTGGGCTGATCAGATTGGACTCCAAATTTTGAAAACTAGCCTTTTTGAAATTCCAATTCTAATAAAAACCGAAGATTGAGAGGCATAGTTAGCTTTGAATTTGGACATGATGTAGCTTAAGCTTGATTGATTTGTAATGCATGGTTGCTTTTGGTTTCGTAGAATTTTAATCGGACATAAAATATCTACATTTTACGTGCAACATTAAAAATAAAAACTTGTGAGGAAGGTAAGGCTTTTTTGTCAAAATGGTTCTGAGTTTGACATAACTTTGATCTTTAAAATTAAAATTAATAGAATTGATCTCAGTTTGTCCACCATCAATAATTTTAATCCTTACGTAAAAAAAAATTGTTAGAACCAAAATGACAAAAATAACCTCAATTTAATAAACAATGGGCCAAAATGATTAATGGTGAACAACCTCAGAGACCACTTCTATTAATTTCAAATCTCATGACCAAAGTGAAAAGTTATGCCAATGTCAGGACCATTTTGACTAAAAAGCTTGAGAGATCATTACCATAATATTCTCATATATATATATATATATATATGAAACGAACGGAAACACATTGCAGAAACAACCCAAATGGTATTGGCCAGCTTGCAAGCAAAGCAACCATATAATACAAGAGAAAGAAATGAAATTTCTTGAAACATTAGTTAGTATCACAAAACACATGGCTCTCAATCTCAGGTGTGCTTCAACTATCAGTATCCGATCGAAACACGAAATCTTTTCACCGTTGGAAGATTAAATAAAAGCCTTTTGCAAGAGATGCCACTCAAATTAGCTGAAAAGTCGCATAATTCCACAAATCTACCAACTCACAAGTTACCAACTTTGAATTAGTGAATCAACGTACAAGTCAAAAGAAATCTTCCATAGCTTCTCATCATCCTGCAAAACGCAATCTCTTTCTTCTTCAAGGCACATAATCCTCCTACATTATATATTTCTTACTTCTAATTTACCTACACAATACAAAACATATATCCTAAATCATCCATTAATCTTAAAAGCAAACTTACAGAAGCAAGTCTCCGCTCAGCTCTCCAATCTCCTTTCTACGATTCGTCAAGCGAGACGACCTTCATCTTCTTCTTCCTCTTGGTTTCCCACAATGCCTTCACACAAGCATCCACCATCTGCTTCTCTGACTCCATTATCAGCTGATTTTGCTTCATCTCCATCTTCATTCTCATCTTCGCCATCTCCCCCGCCATCTCCATCTTCCTCTTCTCCATCTTCACAAACACTTCTCCCAGAAACTCTATGGAAGACGCCATCGCTTCAATCGGATCATCCGCCCCTTTCCCGGATGAACTCCCACCCAAATCTTCTAAACCAACACCATTAGAATGCATACCCCCTCGAAATTTCTGATTAACCCACTCCTTGAACCAACTCCATTGCTGCCACTGCGCTTCGAGATAAGCTTGGGATTAAACTTCTCGTTACTTTTACCATAACCCTTGATCCTAAAATCTGAAGGCCCCAAATTCCTATCCCCCAATGATTTTACAGGAAACTCACTACCACCATCACTTCCTCGACTACCATATCGATCATAACCAGCTGAAACTCCTGAATTCGGACCTCGAACAGGATCTTTGACCCGAAACCCACCTCCGAATCCGGCACCTTTTGGGGTTGTCTCATCTGGGTCACTCAAATTTTGATCAGAATCAGCTAAGTACCTGTAACTTTCATAATTTCTGACCCGAAACCCCCCTCCATATTGGACACCGACGCGGATTTCCAGATCTGGGTTGGACCCGAAAACGAAAGGAGAGTCGCATTCCAAGTCGATCATGGGCTGAAACAGATCCCAGGCAGAGAAAAACGGAGCCGGATCCGGGTGTATGGAAGCGCGTTCTTTCTCAGTCCGAAAGCGCCTCCGGAGCTTCTCCATCTTGTGACGGCACTGTATGGCGGTCTTGGGCGGCGAGACAAGCGGGCATCGGTCATTGACAGAGGACGCAACGGAGTCCCAGTCGGCGGATTTGAGATTGGATCGGCCGAGAGTTAACCATCGGTCCTTGTAGACGGCGATAAGGGCGTGGGACTCGTCGTGGGTCCAGCAGGGCGGTGGGAACGTGCGGGATTTGGGTTCGGCGGGTGGGGACATGGTGGGTTTGGGTTGGGGTGCAGGATAAGGAGGAAGAGGAAAAGGAGGGTGGGGGTTAGGAGAGGAATGGTGGAGGAGGTGGTGGTTGTGGAGGGCATTGTAGTTTAATTAGTTGGGTGTGAGTGGGTAATGCTAATGTGCGCAGGTGGAAGCAGTACGCATGTAGTCTGTCGAGGCTACTATGTACAAGTTACAACTGGAGAGGGTAGGGAGCCACTGCGCCTCCAGGGTGAGGCTGCCCACTACTGTACTTCCAAAAAAGTTGGGGGACAGGCGGTGGTGCCTCAGCCTCTCTCTCTCTCTTCTCTCTCTCGTTGACGTTTTACAACCTTTCTGCTGACTCTTTCTCTCACTTGAATTGAATTGGGCCTTAAGATGGGCCTCAAAAAATAAAATGAAAAGGTTAAAAAGAGCGGGGTTTGAACCCGACGTGAATCGAACACGCAACCTTCTGATCTGGAGTCAGACGCGCTACCATTGCGCCACGGATCCGATGTTGATAGTTGCGTGCACATGCTTGCAAATGACAATTTCTGTTTGTGCCCTTGTAGTAATTTCGGTTTTTTTTTTTCTCGGTTGGAATGTTCTTGTATTGTAGTATTTTGCCTCCTTTTTCATAATTTTCCCTCCATGAGATGAGCCCAGTGCATTGGACCGATGGATAAGAGAACTGACTGAGTTGGCCTATCAAACTATCGTGCAAGTTAACTAACTAACACAATCAATTGATTTAGTCGACATTTGCATACTTTTGCTTCCATTAATACAAATATATTGGGAATTTAGTCGACATTTTCGAGTAGTTGTACTTTTTCTTCCATTGACACAATCAATTGATTTAGTCGATATTTTTTGACATTTGCGTACTTTTTTGGGCATATTAACTTCATATTACGCAACTCTAAAGGAATACAGTATAGTCGTCGTCTTTCACACAACTACTCAAGGCCACATGGCACAAGTACAAGCCATGTGTGTTTTAATACAGACTAGGATTTTCTCCTCTCTTTTTTTCCCTCCCCTTCCCTCTTTCCCTATTTGAACGGTCATGGTTAAACCACGTCAATATCTTATATTAATTTTTTTTATAGAAAAAGAAAGATAAAATAGAGAAAGTAAGAGGAGGTGATGGAAGAGGACGTAAAGAGGAGGGGAGAGAATCCTAGTTTTTTTAATACAACCTAGGGTGGAGACAGAATCCCATATTCGGCATTCATGTCCATTCTTAATGAGTGAGAATCCTCGCTAGATCTTCAAATCATATTCGTTCATCATATATTGTGGTGATAAAAAATTATTGTAAATTCTTTTATTTAAAATTGAATATAAACCGTACTTGACGAAAATTGACCGCATGATATACGATGAACAGATGTGATTAGAGGATTTCCAATATCCTCACAAAGAAGATCTGGTGAGAATCCTCACTCATTCTTAATTTCAAATTGTGTTCTTCTTGTTATAAACCACACCAAGAATAGTTGTGGTAACTGCAACTAGTGATTTATTTGTCAAGCTTGACGTAACAATTTACGTAATAACACAACACATGAGGAAAAGAAGAAAAATCCCCCTCATGATAAAAAGTGCAAAAAATTCCAAAAAATATTTGTCAGACTTTAAAAGTGACACAAAGCTATCTCCAAGAAGTGAGAAAAATATTTCTCATACTTTAGAACTGCCATTGACCGGAAAATCTTTGTTAGATTTTAATCTGTCTTTCCTCAATCGATCTGCTATCAAAAAGGCCAGTTCAAGAGACTGGGATGCATTCAGCCTGGGGTCACAATGTGTGTGGTAACGAGAGGTCAAGTCACTGTCGGTCACAGCCTTTGACCCTCCGATGCACTCTGTCACATTCTGCCCAGTCATCTCCAGATGCACTCCTCCAGGATAGCTCCCTTCTTGTTCATGGACGTCAAAGAAAGCTCTCAATTCAGCCTGAGCCAAAGCAAACAGCCACCAAGTGATCAGTAAAATGGACTAGCAACTCGCATGTAATAAAATGTGTAGGATGAACACAGTTTTAGCTCCACTAGTTGAGTACTTACCCTGATTGCATCAAATGGCCGTGTCTTCAGCCCACATGGAGCCTTTATGGTGTTCCCGTGCATGGGATCACTGACCCACGTGACGATAAGCCCTGCCTGGCGCACAGCTCTGATCAAATGGGGGAGCTTTTTCCTCATATTTTCCGCCCCCATCCGGGTAATTATTGTCAGTCTACCAGGTTTGTTATGAGGGTTAAGAACTTCACACAATTTGACAAGCTCTGTTGGGTCCATTTTTTCACTCACCTGCACGAGTTCATACATCATTACCTAATTATTAATGGAGACAAACTATTTTGCAACCTCTGTTTTCATCTTACAAAACCATACTAACTACAAATAAAACTCGCATTTTATTGTTTCTTTGAATTCTAAAGTAACATCCAAATTACCTTAATGCCAAGAGGATTGGATACACCCCGAAGGAATTCAACATGTGCTCCATCCAATTGTCGAGTCCTCTCGCCTACCCACAGCATGTGTGCGGAACAGTCATAGTAGTGTCCTGTTGTCGAATCCTCTCGAGTCAAGGCTTGCTCGTACAGTAAATGAAGGCATTCATGAGATACCCAAAACTCCACCGTGTTCATTATTGGATTGTCACTAGTAGCCCCAGCAGCATCAAGGAAACCAATAGCTTCATCTACTCTCTGTGCAAGTTCCATGTACCTATCCTCATCCGGGAATAATTTGTTGCAACCAGAAATAAACCTCGTCAATGTGGATACTGAAGTATCATTTCACACCAAAAATTTCTAGTAGAGCATGAGAATAAAAAAGATCTGCATCTGGGTCATGTAAAACATGGTAGCAAACTTCTAGGTGCTTGACTCCATCAATCACTTCCAGAACATAAAGAATTTAATTTATAAAGTACACAAGAGAGCTGTAATTTAATTACAAGAACCACATCTTGGCAACTTGTCGCACGCTCCAGAACATGAGGAGGATAATTGATAATATTTGAGACCACTCATATGGAAATGCTAACTGCTTAAGAAAAGGACAATTGCATGCTCAACGTGTACGTAGCTTTCTGCGTGCCTAGAAGTGCAGGCTAATTTGCAGAAAGCCAACAGTTATGGTTGGAAGTATCACATGAAAGTCAAGATGTGATTTGTAGCAGATACACACCTGTTTCCTTGCTCACTATGTTCTACGAAGTCCAGATTCCAATCTGAGACTCTTTGCATGGCAGCGTATCCACCAGTGGCAAATGCTCTAAGGAGATTCAGTGTGCCAACAGATTGAAGGTATGCTCTGAGTAACCTTTGTGGGTCTGGTATTCTGGATTTTTCATCGAAGGCATCACCGTTGATATTGTCTCCCCGATAACTTGGGAGTTTCACGCCATCTCTAACCTCAAATGGTTCAGAGCGAGGCTTTGCAAACTGGCCCGCCATTCTTCCAACCTGTCATGTATAGTAAATATCAGGTTATGTAAGTGATGTTGTGTTTCAGATTTGGCTCGTCAAAATACCAAGGCCAAACAGGTTTCGGTTTCCAAATGGTGTTGGGAAAGGAGAAAAGGGATGTGCACACTTATTTCCATAAGAATTGGGAAATAGGTTTTTCTTCGTGATCCCAAGCAGTTTGCATAATACCGGAGACCGATAAGTTTGGTAAATTCTTTGTGTTTGTGTGTGGCATGTTTACTTTGTTGTTCATATATTCACATAGCATCATCTTATAAGTTTGCATAACACTGGAGACTATCGATAAACAAGAGCAACTAAGGGGGATTAGAATCAACACAGTGCATATGCTGGATTATCAGGCCCTTCAATGACAGAACCCAAAGTTAAACATAATGAAGCAACTTAGAATTTGGCCATCATGCGAAAGGTTTGATGTAAGTAATTATATACTTATATTAAAGCAGGATGAGGCCTGCTTATGAGCACTCGCTACAACCTAGGACAATGATATTTAAAAAACCTAGCAAGGAACAGTGAATCAATCATCCTTGTTGATGAGTGCATGTAGCAACCACTATATTTCTCCATCCCAAACCAATACAAGATTCAAACTTCTGAATTGTTTCCCTTGTATTGTCAATTAGCATTGGGGAGAAGGTTTCACTCAGCAACTTAACAATTCGTGCCATGAAACGAAAACCCAATTAATAGAGTGGCCAAAAGTCAAAACTACATCTTTTTTTGGGTCATTTTACTCACACCTGCCCAGAAAACTTAAACTAAAACATAAACCAATCCAATGGTAACATCATAAGCTCAAGTGCAAACTCAATCCCATGAATGCATAAACTAATCCTAAGAAAATATGTGGGGTAGGCTGTTCTCTTGCACCCGTGTTCGGACTCCCATTCCTTGTACCGACGTAGTTTAGAATAGAACACCGTTTCGTCAAAACTCAAAACTTTAAAAGAGTGTAACTTTCAAAAGGAGAAAAATTAAAGGAGATTTAACGGAACACTCGGATACTGTTTATTTTTAACGAAAATGATATCTTTATTTAAAAAAATTACTCATATTCACTTACTAACATTTTTTTATCATTTTAATCAAAAGGTAAAGTTTTTATACATTTTTCATTAGTTTTTTTTTAAAATTAAATACTCAGATAATTAAAAGGAAAACCCAAATTATAATTAATTGGAGAGAACGAAGAAAGGAGGACCTTGATGACGGGCATTTGGGCGCCGTAAATGAGAGTAATGGCCATCTGCAAGAAGACCCTGAAGGTGTCTCTGATGTTATTGGCATTGAACTCCTTGAAGCTCTCGGCGCAGTCTCCGCCTTGCAGCAGAAACGCCTCTCCCACTGCGGCCTTTCCCAGCCACGTCTCCAGCCGCCTCGCCTCTCCGGCGAACACGATTGGCGGGAACGTCTCCAGAGTCGTCAGAACATCCCGGAGCTCGTCTGGGTCCGGGTAAACCGGCAGCTGATGGGCCTGCTTGGATTTCCACGAGTCCAAGGCCCATGCTGAAGGCCCAAGATTGGTGGATGAAAGCGTGGAAGAGGAAGAAGGAGAGAGTGATGAATGAGTGGCGATGGTGGGGTTGGGCTTTCTGGTGAGGTGGAGGAGTTTGAGAAGGTTTGTGTGTGGTGAGGAGGCGGTGGTACGATGGAGGAAGGGGTTTGGGGCGGTGAGGTTAGCAAAGCCTGTGGCTGTAGGTGTCAGAGCCATGTCAGGTTTATTCTTCTGTGCTTCAGTCAGACTGTGATGCTGCTGGATTGATACAAGATTCATCTCTCTTGTCTATCTATTTATTATTTTAATATTATATCCTAATGTTGAACTCTCGTTCAATCCTAAACCCTAAAGAGATCCTCTTTGGATCTCTTCCCTCTAATCCACCAAATCAAGAAATTCAGACCTTTAAAATTTGATTCAACGGTTATAAACATGGGATCTCTTCAAAAATTATAATAATTTTAGCCGTTTGATCAAATTCAAGGTCCGGATTATTTGATTAGGTGGATTAGATCCGAAGATGATCTCTTTCCCTAAATCCTAATCTAATTCTTCACCTTCACACAACAGTCGAGTTGCCGCGTGGCATCCTTGCTGAGAGACACATCACGTATGCTGAGGTGGCGGTTTCAAAACCAATCATGTGATGCCACGTGAAAAATTTAAATGTGTAACAACGCGTGGTAGATTTAAAAGGCGACCACTTCGGTGTTCCCCTTTCATAGCATTCCTTCTTATGAATGCATTAAAGAGCAAAATCTCTAGTACTTCCGTTTCCATTATTTAAATAAGAAAGTGTTTCTAGTAGTAGTAGGTAGAGGATAGAACTACCTCAAATATAAGTATATATTTTAGTGAAATATCAAAGTACGCGACGTACAAAATTACAAAATAATAAGAATATTATTAAATAAACAAGAATGCCGAAACGGCTACAAAACTCGAGGAGACTACATTGTGACTAACTTGCTTTTCAAACTATATTACAAGCAATATTTATAGAGAACTAAACTTAAGAAATCCTAACTTGGATGGACTAGGCCTAAATCCTAAACTAACAAGCAAAACCTTGATACGTGACATGAGCAAATGCGGATGCAAGCTTTATTATGCTAATTTTCGATGCCAATTCCAATTCGAAATTCCATCGGTGCAAGTGCAAGATTCCAAATGTCAATGTCAATGCAAGATTCCAAATGCCAATGTCAATGCAAGATTCCAATGACAGTGCTAGTGCAAGATTCCAATGCCACAGTGCAAGATCCTCATGCCAGTGCCAGTGTAAGATTTCCATGCCAATTGTGAGCTTGTGAACAAACATGAACAAACAGGCTAAAAACCCAACTTTCGCAACATCACTTGAGTGGTCACCAATCCAAGCACTTAAGCGATCGTTGCGGTAAGCAGTGCAAGATTCCCATGCCAATTGTGAGCTTTCAAACAAAACTGAACAAACAAGCAAAAAACCCAACTTTCGCAACGTCACTCGAGTGGTCACCAATCCAAGCACTTAAGCGATCGTTGCGGTAAACAATAACAGACAACCAAATAGCATCAACAAACTCATTATGGGACTCCAAACCAGGCCCATTAGTAGCTTCAAACAACAAGTGGGGCCTAAATACTTCAAACAAACTAAGCAGCAAAAAAAACTAGAAACCTGTATTGGCCTCAAACCAATTTTTTCTTTTTCATTTTTCTTGTTTCTTCCTTTTTTTTTTCTTTTTATTCCATTATCCTTCCTCTTTTTGGTTTGCAGTGACACAGACTTGCGGGTTACTCCCACAGGTTGCAACAGCAGCATTCAAGGGTTTAGAAACAACGTCAGTGCAAGTGGTTTTACGAAATCCAGTGCGGTTGGGGAGGTGCAGACTAGAGTGGCTGGGGATACGGGCGGTGCAGCGTGGTTCACAGATTCGTTCGACAGCAGGTCAGATTGCAGTGGTGGTAGAACACATTTAGGTACAAGCAGATGATGGTGCAGATATGTGGACCAGGTGCAGGTTAATCAAACAAGTTGCATGGGTGTAGGTCAAACAACGGAGTACAGGACAAAAACTATTGAAACCAATTATTGGATCTCAAGGATAGTTTTTAACCATCACTTTTTTTTTTTTTTTGGAAATTTTAACCATCACTTTAGCAAAGTCATGAGATAAAGTGATATCTACAACCTTACCTATTTGTCATCCCATACCTTGTCATTCATACTTACCTTTTTGTCAATCATTTTCCCTTATTTCAAGGGTCTCTTTTTCTTGTAAATGATTATTAGTTTTGTCCAGTTGTTAGGGCTTAATTCATGGGATTGTGTAGGGTTGGTTACCTTACAATCCTTGTAGTCTACTTCTTTGGCTCTCTATAAGAGTTGCCTTCTCTCTTATAAAGTATCTTATGATGAAATACAAGACTATTGAAGCTAAAGGTTAACATGGAATCAGAGCATGAACCATGTGGTATTGTCTCTGTCTTTTTTTTTTTAGTTCAATTTTCTCTTATGTTCATCATCAGTTGAGATGACAGAAGATAATCCTTTTGGCTATGGGGCTAAAAACAGCTCAACATTATCTCCCAGCATAACTCATGGTGAGACCAATCCAAACCAACGATTGTGCTTAGTGTTGTTGACCAAGTTCAATTATCTCCCTTGGTCACAAGCTATCTCACTTGCCTTATGAGGAAGGTCGAAGCTAGAGTATGTCAATGGAAGCATTATGCCTTTAGAATTCTCTTCACAAACTTATGATGCATGTCACTCCACTGATCAACTTGTCATGCCCTCAATACTCAACTCCATGGAGCCCAAATTGTTTGAGCTATTCAGCTACTCAAAATCCTCACATCTTCTATGGGAATCTACGAAGGAAATGTATGGCAACCAAAACAATGCGGTGTGTATCTTTCAACTAAAGAAGAACATTGATGGTTTGAAGCAAGGTGACCAATCCTTTGTTCAACATCTTGGAAGCATGAAATCCATGGGGAATGAGCTTGATATGTACCGTCTACACATAACTGACTTTGTTATGTTGTTGAAGTTGGTTGATGAAGATTAAGTGTTTCAACTCCCGACAAGTTTGGGAACTGAGTATGAAGATCTTCACAGTCATTTATTAATGACACCAGAGTTACCATCTTTCATCAGTGTGTGCCATGCAGTCTAAAAAGAGGAAACTCAAAGAAAAATGATGCATGTTGAGCCCAATTCTAACTCCGAGGCTAGGGTTTTCACGTCCAACCACAAAACAACTGATGAAAGATTTTTTGGGAAGAAATATGACTGGAAGTGTACATATTGCAACATGAAAGGGCACTTGAGGGGAAAATGTTGGATTTTGCATCCTGAGTTAAAGCCTAAGTTTGATAGGGAAGGCAGGATGATTAAGGATGGGAAAGGGTTTGCTCCAAAAGCCATTCACACAACTAGTTATTTAGCTAATGGGATGGCAAATTTCCCATCAAATCCTATTGCCTTGATAAATGAGTTTGCTGCTTTTCTCCAAAAGAAGAAGGGAATCACTGAGAATGAAGAGGTGATCAATGAAATCCTACTGTAATGTTAGGGAAATTTGTTGGTTTCTTGGCAGGCTTAGAGAACACATCACAAGACAATATTACAGGTATTATCAGCGTCATTTCCACTACTCTTAATGCAAGTCTTACTCATGTTTTTTGGATTATAGACTCAGATGCCACTGATCATATAACTAATAAACCTTCGAGTCTTCATGAGTTTCAAAAATTAATCAATCTTACTCATGTGTCAGTAGCAACTGGGAAATGGGAACCTATTCTAGGAAAAGGGAAAATTAGATTGATGAGTGATGATGTAGAGTTCACTACTCTCTACGTGCCTTCATTTCCACTTCAGCTTTTGTCCATAGGAAAAATCACAAACACTTTAGACTGTCTTGCCATATTCTCTCCTCATAATTTTGTGTTTCAGGATTGAGTTACTCAAAAGAAGATTGGTGAAGGGTTCTTCTTAAATGGACTCTACTATCTCTCAAATGAGTCCAATTTTGTCAAAAATCTCAGTGCCAACTTAAGTCATGCTTACCAACTTTGGCACCAATGTCTTCCTCATCCCTCATAATCAGTGATGTTCAAGTTATTTCCAATTTTTTGTATAACCACACTTGAGTGTGAAACTTGTCAAATGTCAAAAGCCACTAGACTTCTGATTGTTTCCTTTAAGTCTAGAACCAGCAAGCTTTTTGAAGTAGTTCACTCATACATCTGGGGTTCTTCTCGTGTATAATCATTTGATGGTTACAAATATTATTTTACTTTTGTTGATGACTATTCTAGAGTAACGTGATTATATCTCTTAAAGCTTAAAAGTGACTTGCTTGATGCCTTTAAGAATTTTCATAACCTAATCATAAATCAATTTTCCTCTATTAAGATTAGATAATGGCACTGAATACACCTCCAATAACATGTGTAATTACTTGAGCAATCATGGCATCTTGCATCAAACTAGATGTGTTGGTACATCATAACAAAATGGTGTGGCTGAGAGAAAGAATAGGGATCTATTGGAGAAAACTAGATCTCTTATGTTCCAAATGCATATACGCAAGAAGTTTTGGTCTCAAGCTCTCCTTACTACCACATACATCATTAATCGACTGTCAACTCATGTGTTGCATGCCAAATCTCCTTTTGAAGTCATGAAAGGTAGGACCATAGACTTGTCTCACCTCAGGACCTTTGGTTGCACGTGTTATATGCCCATCCAAGCTTTTCATCGTGATAAACTTGATCTTAGGGCTATCAAATTTGTGTTTATGGGATACTCTAGCTCTTAAAAGGGTTACAAAGTTTACAACCCTCATACTGGGAGGCTGGCAGTCTCAAGGGATGTTCGATTTGATGAATCTTCTCCTTACTTTCACACATATTTGGAGACTTGATCCTAATAAGAAAAACTTTATGGAAATCTTCCCACTGCCTACTCTTGCAGAAATACATGAATGCATCCCTGTACATACCACCATTGAGCATCTTCACTTCACTAAGATTGCAAGTGAAGAAGTTCCTAGCACTTAGGGATCACCAGAACCAGAACTTGCCCCACCAAATGTCGTTGCACCAAGAAGGAATCCTGCACGAGATAGACATCCACAAGTGAAGTTATAAAAGTACATTACTTACATGTAAGACACCCTATTTCTGCAGCCATTACTTATCAAAGATTGTCACCCTCTCATGTCTCATTCCTCAATAAATTGTCCAACAACTTTGAGCCAAGGAATTTTCAAGAAGCTGTGTGTAAACCTGAGTGGCAAAATGTTATGACTAAAGAACTTGAAGC